AAAAAGCAAGACTACTTTATAAATGATGTTGCATTCTTCTCCTTGCATTTTAATTGCCCTTTTCACTTCTCTTTATCCTTCACTAAACTGTAACTTCTTTGAGGACAGAATGGTTCAATCTCTTCACCCTTGGAACTTGAGTGTTTCGCACAGTGCTTAGAACATAGCAGGAACTACCCAAGAATTAGTTGGACAAAAGAACAAATAAAGGTTGGCTCACTTCTGACATTCTTCAGAAGGTTTACATTTTTAGGATTCTAAGGAAATGTTTTTCTCAGAAGTCTAGTTCTATAACTGAAGGTCCTAAACATTTTACAGAAGAAAAGGAGTAGTGTTAACAAAGGAGTAGTGTTAATAATTTCTTTTCCCTTTCTGCAGCTTGCAATAAACTTATACTTTTCAAAATCACAACATTTACTGAAAAGAGTCAGTCAGATCTTAGCCTACACATTAAAAATATTAAAGGCATACAATTCAGTGGATTCAGTGTAGAAGCGTGCTATGGACTGAATTGTCTCCCCTCACATTCACGTGTTGAAGCCCTAATCCCCAGTGCCTTAGAATGTGGCTGTGTTTGGAGATGGGAATTTAAAGAGGTAATTAAGGTTAAATGAGGTCATAAGGGTGGGGGCCCAATCCAATATGACTGGTGTCCTTATGAGAAGAGGAAGAGACACCAAGTATATATGTGCACAGAGGAAAGGCCATGTGAGGACATAGCAAGAAGGCAGCCATCTGCAGGCCAAGGAGAGAGGCCTCAGCAGAAGCAGCCCTGCAGGCTCCATGGTCTTAGACTTCTAGCCTCCAGAACTGTGAGAAAATAAACTTCTGTTGTTCAAGCCATGCAGCCTGTTGTACTTTGTTGCAGTAGCCATAGTGAACTGATACAGTGTGGAAAAGGTCAGAGAACATTAAAAAATTAAAAAAAAAATTTTTTGCCCAACATCACTTTTAGTGTTTTTTTTGCCCCTTATTAGTTGCTTTTGTCACATCAGTGAATTGCTGCTTGTAGTCTTTATCCACATTTATCACTCCTACCTACGTCAAGTTTAATACTTTACTTTTTCACCTGTTTTATACTCTTACACTAAATGTTCAATTTCAGGGCTAATTTATGACAGGTGATTTTTTTAATAGCAAAAAGTATTTTTCTAGTAAAAAAGATTTTCTGAGGACTCCTAACAATTTTGTTTAGGGTGAGAGGGAATTTTATATCTGTAGCACTATCAATATTCTCCAACATCAATGGGCATTTATTGGGCACTTACTGTGTGCCAGACACTGTGCTAGGTGCCAGAGAGAACCCCATGAGAGCTGGGGCTGGGAGAGGGGTAGGCAAGGGCTAGATCACACACAGGCTTGCAGCCCCAGTGATGGGTCTGAGCTGTGAACTAAGTGCCATAGGACTCTATTAAAGGAAGCAAGTGAGCAAGTAACAACTTAGACCTCACATGTGAAACCCGGAAATAGGCGTCAAAATGTCCCATTTCTTGTACTTGAGAAAAACATAAGCAGGACAGATATCAACCTAATTATATGAGATCAGGGGTGTAACAAAGTGACAGCAATCGATCATGACGTCAAAGTATAGACTATACCCTTTCACTGTACCGTTTCCCTCCCTTACACAAGGGGCCTTTTCAGAGTTGAGAGAAACGTGCCAGAAGCTTCTGACTGGTAAGTATCAAGGCTTAAAATTATGGTTAGAGTTGGAAGTTCTGGGCTGGTTTGCAACCTCCTTTGGTCTGCCTGCCACCATCTGTCCTATAAACCACTAGCAAGCCTGGGCACCTGATCAGCTTTAGGAGAGGCCAGAAAAAGCCCTCACTGGATAACTCTGAGACCCCTCCTCCCCCAGTGAAGAACGTGCTTGAAAACCATTAAGGCTTTTAAAACTTCGCTTAGGAGTTAGGAAGACAGTAGGACTTCGCCCTTGATCTACAGTTTATTTATTTGGCTTATCTGACATCAGAACCAGCAAAGGCACATAAGAATATCTTTAATTTAGCAGCAGACTATTTACAGATGAGTCAGTTTCCCATTGTGCTAAGCAGTTGATATAGGGGAGAAGCCCCCTACACTGAGTGAATTAGGAGCATATATGAATACTCACAAAAACACACCTTTCAAGCAAGAACAACTATTAGATTCCTCTTTATAGACCATCTCATGAAGGGTGCACAGACAGGAAGGCCGAGGTATGAGGTGGAAAACAGATGAGACTCAATATCAGAAGACCTTGCTGGCAGGTGACCTTGGATAAGTCACTTAATGTCTTGTAACTGGCATTTTCTTATCCGTGAAATGGCAATAGTAATATCCAAACCTACAGGGCTTTGACAAGCAGATTAAATAATATGTGGGAAAGGGCTTTGTCATTTTCGAAGCACTTCATACATGTAAAATTTATTATTCATATTCTGGCTGCTGTGATGAGGTCCAAGAGGCTGAAGAGAAAATTTTTGTTTTTTTGAAGCTTACAGCTAAAATGAGAAATCACAAGGCACAGAACTAAATACATAATTGGTAATTTATGAACAACCACTATTTCTATTACTAGTATGTGCTCAAAATATTTCTTAAAATGAAATACAAATAATACAGTGGGATACGCAATTTCAGTAAATAGGGATGTGGTGGATGCAGTTGTGAAATGTCCAGAAGAGCTTTCTGGAGGGCATGCATTTATGTAGGTTTCATACGATGCATGTATCACAGTGGTTATGAGTCTGGGATCAGGTAGATAAAAGTTGAAATCCCGGCCCCACTGTGTAGTAGCTATGTGCCTGTGGGAGAGTCATGTAAACTCTCTAAACTGATACCTTTACTGATCGATAAAATGGGGATGAGAGTATTTACCGGCTTATCTAAGGACCAGGGGAAATTATGTAAATAAAGCTTTAAACACAGTGCTTATCATGAGGCAAATGCTTTAAAAAATGGTGGCTCTTGTGATTACTACCATTATAGATCTCACCACAGTTGAATGACGGTTAAGCATCAGAGCTCTAATGATGATAAAGGAGGGGAGACATCACTGCATCGCTTACAGAATCCTGGCAGGTGTGGGGAATGGTTAGGATCTAATTAAACAGAAAGGAAAGGGAAGGAACAAAATGAGAAAAGAGAAGTTGGCATTTTTTAAGGATGGAAAGAAGTGATGAGAATTATGGAGGGCAGTAGCTTTTGAAACCGAGTCAGCTTCATTGATCAGTCTTAAATTCTGCATTGTTTTCAAAATACAAGTCACATCTATCTTTCATCAAGTCGATGTAAGGTGTCTCTACTGAGACAGTTTTACAGTCTTAAATGACCATCAAGTCAATATGATTAACCACTTGAGGAGGGAAAAGGGCTGGGAGTGACAAACTCTGCGCTTCCCTCTTTGGAGATTTCTCTGTTACAACTTTAATTAAGAAAAGGTCAAAGAAGAGTGGTGGAAATAACCAGAGTGTGCTAGAATTTTGGACACACACTCCAAAGGACAGGAGAGGACAGGGTGTGAGATCACATCGTTGCATTCAGACATGATTGAATCTTTATCGACTATATCCTGCTTTGAAGATTACCAACACAAATTTTGAGGGTGTGTTAATTTAGTATTTAGTTCTATTGTTTCAGCTACCATATAACATTGGGGAACCAAATTCACTGGGAATAAGATGAAAACCGTCACTCCACTTGTAGTTTTGAGAGGCTGAGATGTAAGAAAGAAGAGGAACTGTTCGATCTACAAGCTGGGAAATTTGAACAAAGAGATGGGCTTAGCTGAAGAGTGCATTTTTATCTCCTGAAAGAGTAGCATATAGTATAAAATTTAACCAGTACACTGGTTATATACATATATTTTAAAAAGTTCAAATTAAGATAAATATATAACTATTAAAACAAATAAATGTTCATCAGTGTATCACCTAAAGTCATCCCATGTACTAATCTTGCAAAAAATAGTTCTAAGGCAGCAAGGGAGGAAAGTTCTAGAAACAGAAGTGGTTAACAATACCAAGTGGTGAGGGCAATGAGTGCCATATGTTTAAGGGATGCTTTCTGTGACACAGTAGAAGAAAAGGGACCCATTTTAAAGGCAATTTAACCCATTGGCTCACTTTTAACAGTTATAACGGCAAAAAATCCATAGGCTCTCAGTTCAGAGAAAATGTATTAGGGTTATTAAGTAAAATCGAATATTTCTAAGGAACTGGTTTGCTAAACATATTTGTAAAACAGTTGTCTAAACTAGGATGAAACGTGATAATTATACAGTTCGTGCATTTATTTTCATTCAAATTGAAAATGTATATTTATTATTAACTAACTTGAACCAATGGGAGGAATCTCCTATGTCACAACTGAGATAGAAAGGGAAAAACTCTAGGAATGCCTTTATTCTATTACATAAGGCTATCTGAATTCACACATTTAACACACTGGAAAGTAAGCTTTGAATACTGTGGGACTTGAAAGCAGGCTGTATCAGGATGGCTACCCTGAAACATTTGTAAGAGAAGAGTTGAAAGACAATTTCTCCCACTGTTAATCATTGTTGACGAAATGATTTCCATGGTATAATCCCATCCTATCACTTTTCCTCTTCTTCACTTCTATCTTAAGGGAATGCAGGATTGTTCTCCAAATCAGTAGAAACACACAAGTCCTTGGAATAAGACAAGTTCCTGCATCACTGTCATGTAGTAATTTGACATGGCACATGTAACACAGAACTGACCGGTGGGACCCAGAGTCTTGCATCTCCCTAGATGCTAATATTTAGCACAGCACCCGCTTACATGAGTTGTCCCTTTAGCTAAGATATAAACAAAAATGTGAATTCTATGGTACATTAATGGGCAGTGTCCAAAGTAATATCACAAGACATTTTAATTGGATCAGTTAAGAAAATGCTTTAGTGACACCTCTGGCATCCAGTGCTGAGACTGCTTGTCAAGAGATCAGACTGTTTCCCTCTCGCAGGACAGTCAAGCAGCCAAACCTGCACTAACCATGATGGGTTGTTCCGGAGCATGTTGACATACAACCCGATGAGAACATGTTCATCAGCTAGCCTGTCTGCCACATTCAGACTGTACTGTATCCTGAAACAGGGCAGGAGGAAAGAAAGGGTGTTGTTAGGACAGGTGGACAGAAATAAGCAGGGCAGGTAGGAGTGAGTTTGTGGTAGAAAAGGCATCTAGAAAACCAAGCAAGTAAAGGAAAACTAAGCGATGTTCTATGAAAAAACACAAGCAAAATCCAAGCAATGAAATTCACAGTGCCATTTCACTCTCTTTAAAAATAGATTTCCACTTAGGTCAAGTAACTTCTAAGAAAACAGAATTGCATTCTTCAAACCACTAAGGCCAAGAAATTCATTTGTACAGTAAATACACTGAAATAGGTTGCAAGCAAAGATTATCCTTTGGAAAATCAAATCTGAAGCTTAGTCATTTTAAAAAAGGAAAAGGAAATCAGGGAAAGCGAGTAACAACACAGATGTGTCTACTCAGAATAACTACTTGGTGCTGTTAATGGGGTTATAACAGCGCTGCTTTGACTAAATCAAAGATGGTCTTTCAAACACAAAGCATCTTTGACACAAGAAATCAGCATTTTTAGTTTAGTTAATCCAGGGTTCCAGCACACTCTGGCTTTAACTTACCCTTTGCCCTTCAGCAAAGCTGGAGCAGCCCTAGCCAGCAGCTTGCTCTGCTCGACTTCACTGTCCTTGGGGGGAGAGCTGGTTAATAAGATGGGAAAGCCAAGAAAAGCGTAAACTCGGCAATGCATTCAAGAATAGAAACTGGCAACAGAAACTCCCAAGACTACTTGCAAGCTCCATTTGGACAGCTCTTTCATTACTTTGAAATGTTCAAGATGTTTTCAGATTTCCACATAGCTGAACTAGGAGTAGCAACCTGGCCTGAGAACCACAATTACAATTACACAAGCCACTATGATCCCAGATTTGACCTCTGCTATTTGCTAAACAAATAGATTGCATATGCCCAGACACAATGACAGTTCATTCAGCGTTCATGACAGACTATATCCTGTACACAGTCCAATAGTTCACTAAGTCCTGCCAGCCTTCAGATCCCACACAAGAAGTTTATTTCTCCAGCCTGCCCTCTATTCTCCGACTTTCTGTGTTGAACAGAGAATTGAAAATTACCTAGAGATTGGTGTCATATTAAAAGTGTTTTGCTACTTTAGGCACGAGTCACCTGACCTTGGCTGTGAAGCTGTGAAGAAAACTTTCAGAGAAACAGAGGAATAAACCTTTGAGCCTTATAAACATATATTCATACTCCTTGTGTCTATAACTGGTGAGGAAGAGTCCAATGAATAGGGCAGATTCTTATCATTTTAGATTTATTAGGAAGAACACTCACTTTAATTGGCAATTTTAATGAAAAATTTAAAAGTTTAATGTAGTTTTATTAAAGGAAAATAGAAATATAAATAATAATAAAGTGTGGCCAAGCCAAAGGCACCCCAAATTTATATAATATAAATGAATTTATAACTATAATGAATAGGCATGTTCATTGGGAAATATGATATTGAGTCTTAGTATTATAACTGTACTTGTAATGTGCTCAAAGAGAGCTTGTGCTTTTGTAGGTTAAAAATTTGCCCTGCAACACTGGTGTACTTAAAACTATCCCTTTCTCCCTTCATGGAGAATACAAAAATTAAGTGTCTGACTTTGTTTGAATACCAAGTTTTTAATCACTTGCATTGAAATTATTAGATTTTTACCACAAACTTCTGTAATTTTTCAAGAAGTTATAAATCTCTCTATATAAAAGAATGGTTAATAAAGCAGTTAAAAATCTTAAAAACTTTACAAGTTTTACTACAAAGTACCACTTTTTCAGACCACAAAGCGCAAAATATAGCAACTTATAAATGAATATCACATTAGAATTATGCACAGTATAATTGGAATTCTTGTTTTATAATAGTATATACTACAAGATTCCTTAAATAGTGAGGCTTCTGGTAAATTTAAAATCAAATTTGATCTATAAAGAAAACATCTAGTATAGAGTAGGCATTAATGTTTGTTGAATATTATGACTTTACTCAGCTTTTCAGGAATGCACCCATTACTCAAAAAGTACAACTGCACACAAACAAAATTGACTTTAAAAATGAAATTAATGTTCTAGGAGAATTTGCTTTCCTGGTGAAGTTAATTCTTTTTTAAAGCATGTTGATCTGCACCTTCAAAGACTATGAAACCTGCCCATCAGGAGCAAATAAGCATCTTAAGCCATTGGAGTTGATGTTTTCCCACCATCCCACCGAGACAGCATTCCAAACCTTGTCTCCTGAAGTACAGCTCATTATCCAGTAACTATGGTCTCACTGCTGCCCAATCACCTCCCCCAACTTTTTTTTTGATAATACAAGATAGATCTACCCACTATATAACTGATTTCAGATCCCTGTAAAACCACTCAAAACACTGTGTGAAATAGTAAGAATTCTTCCCTCCAAATGAAACCATTTCTCTGCCTTGTTACATACGCTACTTTTCCCCTTGAATCCCAGAAATTGTGTTATTTCCTTAAATCAAAGGCCTAATAATTATACAGTTACAACCTCTGAGGATGAATGTGCAAGAAGAAAAAAAAAAGAAACACGGGAGGATCAACCACGAGGATATGCTTGTTATAAGTTACTCTGGTGACGTCTTATGGGAGGAAGATGATGTGTCAATAAAGCTGCAGAAGTGTGTCCCACCACTTACTAATGAGCACTGGCACTGGAGGAACCCTGCTGACATCAGCATGGTGCAGGGTTGGTTAGCAGGAAGTGAGCAGTTGCCCCGATTTTCCTCTGGTGGCTCATTCTTTCTTTCTCTCCAATTCTCTGGGCCCCTCTCTCCCTCCTCTATGCCACTTGCCTGTCTCCCATGCTCTTTCCAAGTCCCTTCTTTCCGCAAAGGGATGAGCAGATGTCTCCATATACACGTCTTGTCCTTTCGTTGTCATTTTCTTTGCCTTGGCCCTTGCCAGTGCTGGTTCGAAGGCATCATTTAAATCCTTTCATGTTCCTTTCCTTTCCCACGTGAATCCTTGGGAAAACCAGTTCTTGGAATATATGGGGATGATATTCTCTGCATTTATGAGTTTGTGGAAATAAACCATTTATCTCATTTTGCTAAAGCTGTTAGCATCTAGTGCCAAGAGCATTTCTGACTTTCGGTACTCAGTGCCCACATAGTTTCTGTACTACCTAGAACTAGCCTTGAATTCTCCTCTTAACCATTTATTTCTGGGAAGCAGAAAACATGACCATGTATAGAGGAAGCCAAGTGCATGATGAAAACAAGAATAAAAAAAAGCACTCTTTCTAAATGAAATGGATCAAGAACTTAGAGAGCAGACCAGGAGGCAGGTTTCAATGAAAAGTTGGGTCTATAAAGACTGTTCACATCAAATATCTTCACCAGAATTTCTTCTGCAGCTCCCAAGGAGCTTGAAGAAGGGAAGCAAAGTGAAAAAAAATTTCTCCTGAGTTGTTGCAAAGGTAGTGACATCAGGTAATTTATGATAATCTCTTCAAAGCAAGGTACCCTCACGATATTTTATAGAATAATTTGGATGTTTAAACTTTCATTTTGTAGCTCTGGCAGTTTGCTTGGAGAAGTTTGGTGATATTTCCAATTCGTTGTGGGCTTTGGGATCAGGCAACACTGGAACCTAGGGCCTTATCAAGAAGTGATTGCTTCCAGCATGTCAGTGCATCCAAACGTGCCGATGGCTTTCCTGCAGCTCTAGCTCTGGAAACTTCTCCATCTTCTGCATGCCGTGTCTTCAAATTTAAATGCATTCCTCCTTTTAACCTCGGAAACTGCTCACTACCTGGGGCTCCTCTTGACTGTGGGTGATAAATCTTTTCTAATCTGAGTCCCAAGGAGAAGCAATGCTACCATCCCTAAAATTGTGTGTATACACGTCTCTTTTTCTTATTGTCGTTATTTTCTTTTCACCAGGCCCTGCCAATGTATAAACACCTCCTTCAGCACACATATTTTCATTATTGGGTGTGGTGACAATCATACCTGGAGGGTATGACAAGGTGAAATTTGAATTTCATGTGATCTGCTGAAAGAAAAGAGGCTGGAAATATTCCTTTAGATTATTCTTTGCTAAAAACAAAATTCTCTTATTTTCTCACCAATTCCTTTTTATACTCTGGAAAAGAACATATGTAAAGGTAAATGGCCTTCCTCCAAAATTTTTCATACACACACACACACACACACACACACACACTGGCATAATGCGTCCTGAAAGATTAGAACAATTTCAAAATATTTCATATTTATTTATTTAAATACACCCTTTCGTTTTGGAGGATGACAACTGATGCCAGGATTTTGCTTAAGTGCAAACATTTTGGGGGTACTCTAAGGTAATAAAATCACACACAAATGCTCCCTGGATTTTTGCTTAAACCTGCCATATAGTTTTAAAAACCACTTCTGCTTATGCTGTGTTATTATATTAGCTCTGGCCAAATATTTTTTTCTTTTATTGAACAGGAAAATAAAAGGATTTAAATAAAAGTCCTGCATAGAGCAACAATATAATGTAAACAAATTATGTCATGTGGCATAATTATCATCACAATGGTTAAATGGAAAATGATATTTGAACCATGGCAAATTAAGAAGAGAGATTTACTTTTTTATTGATTCTTAAATGATTGATACCCTTGTTGGTGTTTGGGCTCTGTGAAGAATGACTTGTAAACGTGGCTCCTTCCTTAGCTGACTGTCAATTGGGAATACCATTTTGCTTCTCCATGTAATTAACACAATCTATACCAAGGTCATCAAACTAATTTAAATAAATTAGTTTTAAATAAAAAAGAGTCCACAAGTCAGTTTTACCAAGAGATAATTTCTTGAAAAACTCTTTTTCCCCTTTCGTTTTCTAGCTTTCAACATCTTTGATCTGAAACATAAAATATCTGCCACACGCAAATCAGCAAACAAGCATTAAAAAATAGCTTAAAAAAAAAAAAACTTAAAAAAAAAAATAGCTTAGTGTCTCAGTGGGAAAATGAGTTGTCATCAATTCAGGCTGGCACAAAAGTCAAACCTCCTTAAGCAGGTACCGTGGGAGAAATAATAATTCTTAGGTCATATTTGATTCACTACATTTACTATGCTGTCCCCCAGATAGTATCAAACTGTATCAATTGCGTTTTTGCCAAGACATGCTCTAGAAAAGTTTGCTGGGTACAGAGCACACACAGACAGCAACTAAAGCAACTCTAGCAAGAGAATAAAGGTTATCAAAGTGACAGCAGATTTAATTATACACTAACATTTTAGTACAGGAAATAGAGTTGAGTGCGAAGACCAGATTAATTCAGGTTTGAAAAAAACCTAGCATGTTAGTGGAGCTCTGGGGCTACATGGAATAAATAATTACTTGCAGAGAGTGTTTATTTTCAAATTTCATACAACATGCCCAGAAAGTGTGACGAGAATGAAGAAATCTTCAGTTGAGGTTGATTTATAAATGCATCTATTTTATGATGCTGATTTATAAATTTACGTTCCTTCCTGACTGAAAAGGGACGGGCTTTAGTCTCAGAAAATACTGAGCATGGAGAAAACTGATTTTCAGAAGCAAAGTCTGAATTCAGTACCTCAATTTTATTTCTATTCACTTTTGATTACCAAAACACAAATGTTTAAAATTTAGTTTGAACATTATATGTCAGATTAAAAATCTGGGTTATTAGGTAAAGACTCTTTGGGAAAGCAAAGTATTTGAAAAACTGAAAAAGACACATGAATTAGCCTTTCTGTGGCTGAAAACCCAAACAAATCAACCAACTGATCAACCAGTCAACCAACAAAAATAACTCACAAAGGCTGTTCCATTGGGAAGAATCAGGATTTGGAAAGTGCGTGGGGAAGGCAGTGTATCTTCCCCATATGCACCCCTGGACCTAATACGGTATTAGTAATTAACCAAATGCTTTTCAGACAAACCAGAAACTAGCATATTAGATTGTGTTCAACACACTCTATGAATCATAAGCAATGTTCTAATATTTGGGAGAGTGATCAGTTCTGGCTAGATATAATAGACAAAGTGATTCTTTTTGTGAGTGGTTAAGACTTGAGAGGTTGCATTTATAAAAATATCTGTAAAATCTTTAAGAGAAGTTTCTAAAACTGGAGGTAAAAGTATCTAGCCATTCAAATTTTTAGAATGTCCTTACTGTAGCTAATGAAGAAATGGCCATAATAGCCATAACTAATGAAATATTTTCCAAATGGAAAGGACTGGTTAGCTCTCTCACGTAAATGAGGTGAGGATTTTGGCAAGATAATTAAGATTTTACAAAGGGGGCCTGATGCCAACAGCAGAAACTCAAAGGCATAATGCTGTGTGCAGTGAGGGGGAGAAGGGCTTTGTGGTCAGCTCTTGCAATAATATTTGCCAAAATGGCAGGCTATCTTTCATAAGCTTAATGTTGGCTGCCCAATCATACATCATATATTGGTGTTCTTTTCCTAGTGATAATGATAAATTTCCATTGATCTAGTTGTTCTTTTCCTATAAATTCATGCATTTATAAGAAAACAATCTAGGTTTAGGGATATAGTTATGATCAAGAAAATGAATGAAGTGAATTTGTCCATGAATTGTGTCATTTGACCCAAACTGTGCCTAACCGCTAATCAGCATTGAGTACACACACACACACACACACACACACACACACACACACACACACACACACACGAAGACTTCAAAGGGTTAAGGGAGAGTGCCTTTGAGCATTCCCTCTTTTAAGTTAAGGGAAAAGTGACTCAAGGATATAGCTAGAAACGGATATCAGAACAGGGGATGGGGCAGATGGTGGTAGTATACCCTCATAAATCTGTGTGAGTTAGGTTACCAGGATGTCAAAAGACTTCAAAGATAGGCCCTAGTGCCTTTTGAAGATCAAAGTGTATGCTTGCAAAGGACTCTATGTGAGGAATGCCAGGAGTTTGTAGCGGGGATTCTGGAGTAGTGATTTCAATTCATCCTTATTCTGCTTTATCTTTGTAAGATCTGTCACAATACCAAAGACCAAAAACTCAGGCTAAATAAAGTATCTGCAAGGCAAACTTCCTTACTTTTTTAATGCAGCCTCAACACTGACCAGCACCACTCTTGGCTTGTTTAGGTTTTAGTTTTTATCTGATTTTAACAGGGGCAGTTGGGGTGGGGTAGAGTGAGGGCAGAGCTCTAGGTCCTATTTCTTTGGTTAAGTTCCAACTGTAGGAAGATTAGGGCCTTTAGCTTATGCCTACATTTGGCATGATGGTTTCCATCAACCTTAGCATATGGACATGGCTAAGAAATAAACAGGTGATCACCACCAGCATTATCAACTGGTAGAAATTAAACACTAAGAGCATGAAATTGGCTTTGAAATTGCTACTTTAATAAGAATCAGACTGCCCTACCTGGGGGAAAATGGCCCAAGCCCAGGAGGACAGAAAGATGTAAGTCCTCAAGTCTTTTACTGTAATATGGTCCAACCATGTGATGTTGTCCTGATCTCACACAGTTAGTGCTAGAATCATTCCAAGAGGCTCTTTAATACAAGAGTCTAAGGAATCACCACCTGGGGTCTTGCAAACTGTACCAAAGCAGAGAATCGTCCAAAGAAGGAGATCCAACATGGTACTCTTTATATTTACTCATCTCATACATACTGGCATGAAGACATAAAATCAATAAAAGAAGTGGAAAAGTGGAAAAGAGAAAAAGAGCTGACCAGTCCAGCTCAAGTTGGAAATTCTCAATGGAATCTCATGAAACCCCAGAAGACCTGTATCTCCACCAAAGCGTACTACAAGAGCATGTTAGTGATAAAGTAGGACTAGCGGTCTAGCTCTGGAACTACTACTACGATTAGTGCTTCAGGGCTGGGATACTGACCGTGCGCTGTGGTCAAGCTGATTTACATACAGCTTTATGAGCGAATGCTCCTCAGCCACAGGGCTGGATGCACTTATCCCCTCAGGTAACCTGAGGGATGCAAACAGTGAGACCCCGTTAAAACCTCCCATGGACAGAGCAAGGCCCACTCAGAGAGGAAAGACGTTCAGTGTACACAGCTTTATTGAACGGCACCCTTAAAACAGAAACCAGAGGCCAACCTCTGTGACGACAGGAAGAACTGCAAACTTTAAACAACGTGCTTGAGGTTCAGAGGGAACATTCCAGAAGGACTGAAAATGGGAAGAAAGGGAAATGATCATATTTTGGGGCACCATGCGCCCTGGAGGAACCAGAACAGCTCAAAATATTATAGGAATATTTTAGAGTAGAAGAAGCCATGTTATCCATCTAGACGCATCCATCATAAAGCACCGTCCAAGCTGAAATGATATAAAATGACCTTCAGTAAGGATGGGGTCTATCTCTGCTTGACATTTGCAGAATGCAGAGCTTCCTAATAAAAGCATATCTTTGTTAACATCACGCCAGATCGTCCCAAGATAGAGGCACAGGCCCATGTCTCTAATAGACTTTACAGTTTATGATTTTGTCTTAGAAAATGTGGTTTAATCTCCTGGTGGCTCTGAAAAGGAGTGCTGAAAGGAATAAACTGGGCTTCAACCATAGGATTTCACTGTGGATGTTATGCAATGCAATTGCCTTCCCATTTCTATTTGTGACAGACTTGCTTAATTTATAGTGGGAAACACCACATTCTGTTCATTCCGCTGATTACAATTATGGGGAACACCTTCATCTCAGGTTCCTGCTG